CGGCACCTGGAGACGGGGGGGGCTTGAGAGCCCAGAATCGAATCGGATCGGCGATCGAGATGAATCGGATCGGCGGAAATCGGAAGCCGAGTCGGGAGAAGTCGAATCGGCGGAAATCGGGCCAGGGGAGGTGGAAAGCCTCCTTTTGTTATCGAGCTCTGCTTGGCTCGCTGGCTCTGGACTCGTCTGCGCGCTCCGTCCTGCCAGGTCCTCCCTCTCCCCATCCCCCGCAGCATCCTCCCACGTATCCCCCCATTGAACGGACCCAAAGATTTTCCTGTATTTTCTGAGTTTTCGTCTTCCCCCATCTTCCCATATTTCCCGGGGAATCATCATCCCCCCTCTCCCCGTCCCCAGACCCCCGACGTCGGGATTTTTTCTCGACGTCGACCCCAGAGGTCTGGACCCCTTCCCCAGGGCCGGTGTTTCATCCAGAAATGTTTCTTGACGGCCCCAGGGCCCGGCAAGAGCCCCGGGCGACTGAAAATGGGGAAGATCCTCCCGCCATGGTTTGTTTCGCAGCGCGAGGGGGGCCTGGGCCCCTCCCCCCCCCGCCCGATCCCCGGTCCTGCTGGAACATGGCGGAATGGCCCCCAACGCGCCTGGCCATGGCGGACTGGCTCCCGGCGGATGCCCTCCCGCGTCCCGACAGAAGCGCCCCCCAGCGCTTCAGGCAGCTCGAGGCTCGAGAGGAGCGCGGCTGCGCCGCGCCGAGCGCTGGACCGCCCGAGCGCGCGGCCCCTCCAGGAGACGGGCAGACGGACAACATGAGCATACACTCTCGGAGGTCCGCGCGGACCTCCGAGCGCGGATGCGTTCACAACGTGTTCCGAGCATCGTTCCACCGATGCCTATACCCGCTGGCGTGGCCTGGGCCCCACTGGCCGGTGTACCCCCCTGGAGATGGAATGTAGGCTGGTCCTTCTGGATGTTCGAGGGGTTTATCCCCAACGAGGGTGGTGGGACAATGGGGCTGCGACACAGTCAACCCGCACAACAAGGACGCACTATAATGATGCAAGGGCCTTGAAGGCCATGTGGACGCTTTGCGGGCGGGGCGAAAGGGGAAGGATGTAACGGTAACCTTGAAAAGTTGCTCAGCTTTGCTGAGCGGCTTGACTGCACCATGGCCCGTTGGGAATGAGGATGTGAGCGTTTTCTTATTCGGCGTTTCGACAGTGCGCGAACGGAGGGGGGGTCTGGCTCTTGCCTCTGCTTGGTGCGACTGCTTGCGACAGTGCGTCCTATGAGGGGGGTGAGGGGGGTGCGAGGGCCAGCGCCGATCGGCAAAACAATGAATAAAACACGATCACGATAGATTAAGCGATACTGTTCCCGTCGACTCTCGCGCCCGGCCTGCCCTGAAAGTCCTCGCTGCTCGGGCCAGCGCCAACGCCTCCTCCGCCCCTGGCCGCTGGCTGGGGGCTGGGCGGGACCTCACCCACCGCTCCTCATTCTCCCTCGGCGGTCGCCTGCGTTCCTTGACCTGCTCAAGGCGTTCGAGCAGGTGCGTCACCACCGACTGCTGGACGCGGCCATCTGCACGGGCATCCCGCTGCTTCAGCTCAAGCTGCAGGTGGAGCTTTGCTGCGCGCCGCGTCTTGTGCCACGGGCGGACTGCCCCAGCCCCATGCTGGCGAGGCAGGCCATCCTGCCTGGCGATGGCTGGGCGACCTCGCTCCTTAAGCTGGTGCTGATCGAACCGCTCGACCGCCTGTTGCGCCTGCACCCCACGGTGTCGCTGGCGGTGGTCGTGGGCGACCTGATGTTCCACCGCGTCGGCGACTTGGCAAGCGTGACGCGCGAGGTGGCTGCGGCGGCCTTTCAGCTCAAGGGGCTCCTTGCCGAAATCGACCTCAGCGTGGTGGTCAAGAAGTCTCGGGAGCTAGCGAATGTGCCTGCTGCACGCGATGAGCTCGAGCGACGGCTGCGACGACCTCTGGGGGTCCAAGCGGTGCGAGGGGAGCGCAACCTCGGCGCTGCAGGAGAAAATAGTGCAGGCTGGCTTGAGGACCCGTCGCGGGCGGAAGCAGGCCGCCAGGAAGGTCGCCAGGTCGGGCTTGGAGGCCAGCGTCTCCTATGGCTTCAGCGTGGCGGGCCGCGCCGTGGGAGAGTTGGACAAGCTGCGCTCCCTCGTTTTCGCCGCCGCGGCGCCGAGCGTTGCCTGGCGTTCGAGTGCGCTCACCCTCATGATGACGAGGTTCCTCGACCCGATCTACCGGGCTACGCTGCTGCCTGTGATGGCTGTGCTGCGCGCGGCCTGGGAGTCGTGGCTGCTTTCCCACGTCCTCGCGTTCGGCCAGGTGCAGTGCGACGCGGGCTCTTGGCAGCAGGTCCGCGGTCCGTTTTCGGCCGTCTGCATGTCGTTGGCGCGCGTCGGCTGGGAGATCGTGGACGCCGCTACCTGGCGCGCGTGCTGCTGAAGGCTTTCGACGTCTGCCCCTGGATGGTGAGACGGCTGCTCTGGCGTGCAGTCGAGGCCCGGCAGTGGCAGCAGGTCGCCGGACACACCGACAGCTGGAGCACTTGGCTGGCGGCGGCGTGCTGGAGCCGCTCGCGCGCATTACAGTAGGAGCTCGACCACAAGAGATCTTCCACTAGAAACCCAACCCTGAGACCCCAGGACGTCCATTGCATTGATTCGTGGTGTGGGAACGTCACGCTTTCCATCGCACAGCCATCGAAACCCAAGAAACCCAGGGCACCCTGGAGGCAAGCAGGGTGTTTCTTGGCATGGGCTTCCACTGTACCACCGCAGGCGCGGTGAGCAGCAAGGGCGTTTTCGGGGCGCGCGCTCAACCTGCTTGATGGGCTTGTTTCCCATCACCACCACCACCACCACCAGAAGTTGGAGGGGGAGGGTGCCCTCCTCCTCCTCCTCCTCCTCCTCCTCCTCCTCCTCCTCCCTCCCCCTCCGCCGTCCACCTCCTCCTCCTTCTCTCTCCCCCTCCTCCACTCCACCTCCTCGTCCTCGTCCTCGTACCTCCTCCTCCTCCCTCCTCCTCGTCCTCCGGTCCTCGTCCTCGCCACGTCCTCTTCCTCCTCCTTCCTCCTCCTCCTACCTCCACTCCTCCTCCCTCCCTCCTCCCCTCCTCCCTCCTCTCCTCCTCCTCCTCACTCCACCTCCTCCTCGCGCCTCCTCCCCCCCCCCCTCCTCCTCCTTTCCTCCTCCTCCTCCTCCTCCTCCTCCTCCTCCTCCTCCTCCTCCCACTTGTGGTGGCAATAGTGGTGGACAACGGGCCCGTCCCTGCTGGCGGGGGCGACGGCCCCCGAGGCGGCCCAGGCCGCCTCCTCGAGCGGCCTCGGGCGGCCCACCCGCGGCTCGCCTGGCGCTCCCGGGAGCGCGCTGCAGCGCTCTGGAGCGGAGCCCTCCTCGCCCTGGCCACCCCGCCTGGTACAGTCGGCCTTGATTTTAGGTCGGGCCTGTCCCCCTACAGGCGGATTTTGGACGAGACATGATCGACCCACGAACCCGGAAAGGAATATAGAAATGTAAGGCATTGCAACATTTCAAAGACACCTGATTGGGCGACGGGCACATGCAATGCTGAATGTATCGATGATGATGTACTGTGCCGACGGCTGTGCTGTGCTACGCCGTGCTGAACTGCGTGTGCCATGCCGCGATTGTGCTCTCTATAGCGTTGTGGATCGAGTCCTCCCTGACATCCGAGTCCTCACCGAACTGATCTGGAGCGTAAGCTCGAGCTGCCTGAGCAGATGGTAGCTGCCCCAGAACCAATCGACAGAGGGAACATGCCAGGAGGACGCGCCGCGGAACGTCCCAAGGGACGCGCCAGGCGACGTGCCAGGGGACGTACCATGGGCACGCACCGCGGGACGTGCCAAGGGGACGCGCTAGGGAACATGCCAATGGACATGCACCGCGCGACGTGCCAGGGGACGTCGCCACGGGACGCTCCGCGGAACGAGCCCAGCAAACATGCCAGCTGCAATATCAAGGTAATCGTAAATTGATGTACCGTGCCGAGGGCTTGTGCTGTGCCTGGCGACCTGTAACACGAGAAACCGAACCCGGTTTCGGCTCAAAGACGTTGTCAGCGACATCCACATAGCTAGACAACCGCCTGGGCAAACCAAGGACACGTGCAAACAAGCGTCTCTGCTCGAGACATCCCTCAACTAAATGCTCGATGCTAGACAATCCGCCTGTGCGACCCCCCTGGACACGTTAAAACAATTCCCCCCCCCCCCTCCTCCTGGTTCGAGACATCCTCAACAAATCCTCATGCTAGACATCTGTCTGGGCCACCTAGAGGCGTGAAACCAAGCGTCTCGCTCGAGACATCCTCAAGACCTGGGCACGTGAAAACAAGCAATCCACTTGAGAGATCCTCAGAATTCAGGTCCCCAGGAGAGGACAATCTATGACACAAAACAAGCGTTTCGCTCGAGACATCCTCAACAATTTCTGAAAAACAAGCGTTTCGCTCGAGACGTCCTCAAATGTTAATTCGCCGGCCCTACGCGGCCTCGTTATTTATCGCAAAAGAAATTCGCCGGCCCTACAGCCGTCAAAACCGTTGGTAAACCTACTAAAAGAGAACCCTGGGCCGACGCACTTTCCGGGAAAATTAAAAATACCCCAGGAATACCCCAAAGATGTAGAAAAATTGTCCCTTGACTATGTTTTTGTATTTTTGGAGATTCCCCCTGTAGAGGGACAGGCCCGACTTGACCTTGATTGGACAGGACACGCGAGAGGACACAAGACCCTTGCGAAGGCCACATCGCCATCAGAGTGTAAGAAGGCACGTGTCGCGAGGCACAGGACACGAGGGTACCCTTGAGCTGGCAGGGTCGACCTACTAATCCGGACCGCCTATACTGAGAGGCCACCTGCCTCCGTCGAAGCACCCTCGTCTTCGGAGGAGGAGGAGGAGGGAGAGGAGGAAGAGGAGGAGGAGGAAGAGGAGGAGGAAGAGGAGGAGGAAGAGGAGGAGGGAGGAGGGAGGTAGGAGGTAGGAGAGCGTTTTTTGCTCTCTTCGCGATGGTTATCCGACAGCGGCCGTTACCGGCCCCGGCCCCCCCCCACAGGAAGCGTCACGATTCGTGCTGACCTCCGACATGGCTCTGGTTATTCCTAGGAAATTCCACGGCGCCGGCGCGAAACGTGACGTTGCCGGCCGCCCCACGCCCCCCTTCGGGGGAGCTCCCGAACGAAGTGAACCCCACCCTCCCCCTCAGAACTCGTGGGGGTAGGGGTAGGGTTCGCATGTGGCCCCCTACCCACGCCCCCCTGCGCCCCCCCATCCCGTAACGCATGTGACCGCCTGGGAATGAAAAACAAACTCTTGGCGCAAGCCTTTTTTTGAATCAGCCCAAAATACGCCGAGTCCGAAGTCAGGGCCCAGAGGAACTAGAGGAACAAAACACGGCAGGTGCATAAAACTCGTGGAGCTCCGCGCGGATTTCCTGGATCTGCGCTGGAGCCCCCTCCCTGGCGCGCGGAGCGCGCCAAGGGCGGCGCTGGAAGCGCCGCCGGGGGGCCCCAGCGCAGACCCAATAAATTCGCGCGCTCCGCCAAATGCTTTTGTTTGTGTCGTCCTCTCTTCTTCGAGATCCGACGTCGGGGTCCAAGGAAACGTAAGACTACAGCTGGCCGGAACTCGACCTTGCCGCCGCCTTTTTGACGGGGGGGCCGAGGTCTGCCGCCGCTCTCCGCCGCGCGCGGGGCGCACCGCCACCGGCGCCACCTCAGGACTCGTCGCCTCGGCCCAGGAGGAGGTTCGGCCGCGGGGCGGGTAGGCGAGATGCGGGGGGGAGGGAGGGCGCGGAGAAAGACAAAGAGAAGGAGAACTATGGAGGAGGAGGAGGAGGAGGAGGAGGAGGAGGAGGAGGATCAGCGACTCCAAAAGGTATGGTTTGCAAAGGGGGTGGTTTGCAACCGGCACCCTGGGGGGCACCCTAGGAGGCGCGCGGGAACCTCTATAGAGGTCTCCCGCGCCCCGAGGAGGCCCGACGAGGACAGTGTCGTGCCCCCCAGGCCCCAACGGTGCCGATCGCAAACCACCCTTTGGCGTCACCATGCCCGTTATAGTCGCCAAGAGGGGGAGGAGAAGGAGGAGGAGGTGGAGGAGGAGGAGGAGGAGGAGGAGGAGAAGGAGGACGAGGAAGAGGAGGAGGACGACGACGACGACGAGGAGGGAGGGAGGGAGGGAGGGAGCGAGAGAGGGAGGAAAGGAGTGAGGGAGCGAGGGAGGAAGAGAGGAGGCGGCGGCCCTCCCTGGCATGTTTCGTCCTCTTGAGGCTTCCTAGAGGCTTCTCGCTGCGTCGGCAGGGTCCGCCTCGGGGAGCGTGGCAGGAGAAGAGGAGAAGGAGGAGGAGGAGGAGGAGGAGGATCCCAGGAAGGGGCCCGGGGGCCGCCTTGGAGCGGATCTGAGCCAGCTGGGATGCAGATACTTTTCCAAAAGAAAAAACATCCAACGCAACTGAAGCTGTACACAGTTTTGACTCTGACGCTGGCGAAGCACTATCGCGTGAAGACGTCTAGGGGGAGAAGAAGACAGAGGAGGGAGGGAGGGAGGGAGGGAGGGAGGGAGAAAAGACTCGAAGACAGAGGCCGGGAGGCGGAGGCTGTACGGCGCGCCTAGACGCTGTAGCAGGGAGGGGGAAGGAGAGAGGAGGGATTATGGACGAGGAGAATGACAAAACGGGAAACGGGGGTAGGAATGAGAAAGGGGGGAGCAAGGAGCGGAGGAAACATTGGGAAAAACAAAGACGAGAGAAGATTGAGAAGACAGGGGGTAGTCCTCTGTCCTTCCCCGCCCTTTCCTCCCTCCTCCTCCTCCTCCTCCTTCACCCGTCCTGTCCCCTCCCTCCCAATGGTCATCCCTTTTCTGCTAGGGCCAGGGGGAGGGCCCTGTCGCGAAACCACTTACGAGCGGCACGACACAAACATATTGTCAGCCTTGCTCCTGTTCATTATCACCCATCATCCTCACAATAATCCTCCTCCTTCTCATCATCATCATCATCATCATCAGCAGCATCACCATCATCATTACCATCATCATCATCACCATCATCATCATCACCATCACCATCATCATCATCATCATCATCATCATCACAGTCATCCTAATCATCATCCTCATCCTCATCCTCATCATCACCATCACCATCACCATCACCATCATCATCATCATCATCATCATCATCATCATCATCATCATCTAATCACCATCACAATCATCATCAGCAGAAGCATCGTCTTCATCAGCATCGTCATGATCATCGTCATGATCATCGTCATCATCAGCAGCAGCAACACCAGCATCAGCATCAACATTAACATCATCAGAATCATCATCAACAACATGTTCGCCATCGCCTTACTCATATCATCATTACCATCCGTTCCCTCATATGCCTAATACCCCCCCTCCTTGTCACTCAATGTCCTCCTCCTCCCCTTCCATCTCCCCCCATGCTCAACAAGAATGTGCACCTTCTCTGTACATTTAACAAACACATCAGGCAGATGTTGCTTTCAAGCTGCAAGACAACCACGCTGCAAAAGGACACTGCCCTTGACAGTTCGGCACACTCGAATGCATGGCGATGGCCCTTCTTGATCAGGTATGTGAGATGGCACTTGCCACCTTGGCTGGCTCCGCGAGGCAAGCGAGGAAGGAAGAGAGAATAAGAGCACGTCAAGCGTCCTGCTCCCCTGCGTCGCACTCCAGCTCACTTGCGTTGATTATACCATCGAATGTTGTGTCGGTCATGCCTCCTACAGAGCGGAAACCTGAATCCCTTTGTTTTTTTCCCCGCCAGCCTTCCGCAGGAGTAAAAACAGACCCCCAGAAATTTCCCTGCAGAGACCCCGCGGGGCATCTGCAGAGACCCCGCAAGGCCCTTCGGAAACATGATGGACCCACGAACCCGGAAAGGGATATAGACATGTGGAGCATGGGCACGTTTTCACGATACCCAACGGGGCAACACCTCACGAAACATCCCACGAGACACCTCACGAAACATCCCACGAGACACCTCACGAAACATTCCGCGAGACACCTCACGAAACATTCCAGGAGACACCCCGCGAAACATTCCACGAGACACCCCACGAAACATTCCACGACGACTGGCAACCACTCAACCAAGGCGGTGTGGTCGTGCTGGGGAGTGGTCGTGCTGGGGTGTGGTCGTGCTGGGGGGTGGTCGTGCTGGGGTGTGGTCGTGCTGGGGGGGTGGTCGTGCTGGGGGGTGGTTGTGCTGGGGCGTGGTCGTGCTGGGGCGTGGTCGTGCTGGGGCGTGGTCGTGCTGGGGTGTGGTCGTGCTGTGGTGAGGTCGTGCTGGGGTGTGGTCGTGCTGGGGTGTGGTCTTGCTGGGGTAGGGTCGTGCTGGGGTCGGGTCGTGCTGGGGTGTGGTCGTGCTGGGGTATGGTCGTGCTGGGGTGTGGTCGAGCTGGGGTGGGGTCGTGCTGGGGTGTTGTCGTGCTGGGGTGTGGTCGTGCTGGAGTATGGTCGTGCTGGGGTGTGGTCGTGCTGGGGTGTGGTCGTGCTGGGGGGTGGTCGTGCTGGGGGGTGGTCGTGCTGGTGGGGTGGTCGTGCTGGGGGTGGTCGTGCTGGGGCGTGGTCGTGCTGGGGCGTGGTCGTGCTGGGGCGTGGTCGTGCTGGGGTGTGGTCGTGCTGTGGTGAGGTCGTGCTGGGGTGTGGTCGTGCTGGGGTGTGGTCTTGCTGGGGTAGGGCGTGCTGGGGTCGGGTCGTGCTGGGGTGTGGTCGTGCTGGGGTATGGTCGTGCTGGGGTGGGGTCGTGCTGGGGTGGGGTCGTGCTGGGGTCTGGTCGTGCTGGGGTGTGGTCGTGCTGGGGTATGGTCGTGCTAGGGTGGGGTCGTGCATTTCGCTCGAGACATCCTGCCAAAATTCCAGGAAATCGTACAAAAACAAAGGAATTAGTCGAGACATCATCGAAATTCCTTCGCGCGGGGCGCTTTTCCGCGTCGCGGTCGGCTCTGCAAAACAAGCGTTTCGCTCGAGACATCCTCGGCAAACTCTGCGGAGCAAGCGTTTCGCTCGAGACATCCTCAACACACGAAAAAATGGCCCGCACCCTGTGATTTATCGATCGGGATTTCAAAAACAAGCGTTTTGCTCGAGACATCCTCAAATTTTAATTCGCCGGCCTCCTTCGACCTCGATATTTATCAGGGAAAAAATTCGCCGGCCTCCTTCAAGTTGGCACCGGGGGATTAGGTTTACCAACTAAAAGAGAACCCTGGGCCCCCGCCCTTTCCGGGAAACATGATGGACCCACGAACCCGGAAAGGGATATAGACATGTGGAGCATGGACACGTTTTCACGATACCCAACTGGGCAACACCTCACGAAACATCCCACGAGACACTTCACGAAACATCCCACGAGACACCTCACGAAACATTCCACGAGACACCTCACGAAACATTCCACGAGACACCCCGCGAAACATTCACGAGACACCCCACGAAACATTCCACGACGACAGGCAACCACTCAACCAAGGCGGTATGGTCGTGCTGGGGAGTGGTCGTGCTCTGGGTGTGGTCGTGCTGGGGTGTGGTCGTGCTGGGGGGTGGTCGTGCTGGGGTGGTGTAAGTCCCGCTCAACAAGTGCTGGGGGTTGGCGAGCTCATCGTGGGGCGTGGTCCGAGCTGGGGGCGTGGTCGTGCTGGGGTGGCGCCCGAGCGTGGAGAGTTCGTGGAGTGAGCGTGGTCGTGCTGGGGGGTGGTCGTGCTGGGGCGTGGTCGTGCTGGGGCGTGGTCGTGCTGGGGCGTGGTCGTGCTGGGGCGTGGTCGTGCTGGGGCGTGGTCGTGCTGGGGTGTGGTCGTGCTGGGGTGAGGTCGTGCTGGGGGGTGGTCGTGCTGGGGTGTGGTCTTGCTGGGGTAGGGTCGTGCTGGGGTCGGGTCGTGCTGGGGTGTGGTCGTGCTGGGGTATGGTCGTGCTGGGGTGGGGTCGTGCTGGGGTGGGGTCGTGCTGGGGTCTGGTCGTTCTGGGGTGTGGTCGTGCTGGGGTATGGTCGTGCTAGGGTGGGGTCGTCTGGGGCGTGGTCGTGCTGGGTTGGGGTCGTGCAGGGTGCTGAGGAGGCATTGGCGTTGTAGGTCGTGCTGTGTGGGTCCTCACCATGTGATTATCGATCGGTTGTGCTGGGAGTAGGTTGGTGCTGGTGCTGGGTTGGAGTCCGTGCTGGGGTGGTCGTGGGCTGGTGTATGGTCGTGCTGGGGAGTGGTCGTGCTGGGGTGTGGTCGTGCTTGGGGGTGGTCGTGCTGGGGGGTGGTCGTGCTGGGGGGGTGGTCGTGCTGGGGTGTGGTCGTGCTGGGGCGTGGTCGTGCTGGGGCGTGGTCGTGCTGGGGCGGTGGTCGTGCTGGGGTGGGGTCGTGCTGGGGTGTGGTCGTGCTGGGGTGTGGTCGTGCTGGGGTGTGGTCGTGCTGTGGTGGGGTCGTGCTGTGGTGGGGTCGTGCTGGGGTGTGGTCGTGCTGGGTATGGTGTTTTGGGGGGTTGGGTGGGCCCCCGTTTTGGGGGGGGGGTGTGGTTTTTTTTTTGGTGTGGGGTCGTGCTGGGGTGGGGTCGTGCTGGGGTCTGGTCGTGCTGGGGTGTGGTCGTGCTGGGGTATGGTCGTGCTAGGGTGGGGTCGTGCATTTCGCTCGAGACATCCTGCCTAAATTCCAGTAAATCGTACAAAAACAAACGAATTAGTCGAGACAGGAACGTCCATCGAAAATTCCTTCCGCGCGGGGGCGCTTTTTTCCGCGTCGCGGTGGCTCTTCTGCAAAAACAGCGTTTCGCTCGAGAACATCCTCTAGCAAAATTCTGAAAACAAGACGTTTCGCTCGTGAATCCCCAACTCTGCAACCACGTGTTCGCTCGAGACATCCTCACAAAATCTTGAACACCAGCGTTTCGCCTCAGAGACTCCCTCTAATATTAATTTTCGCCGGCCCTCTGGGGAGCTCGGGCATTGGTGGAAAGAAATCGCCTGCCTGCGACGGAAGCAGCAGGCACCGGGGGACTAGGTTTACCTACTAAAAGAGAACCCTGGGCCGGAGCCCTTTCCGGGAACATGATGGACCCACGAACCCGGAAAGGGATATAGACATGAGGAGCATGGACACGTTTTCATGATACCCAACTGGGCAACACCTCACGAAACATCCCACGAGACACCTCACGAAACAGCCCACGAGACACCTCACGAAACAATCCACGAGACACCTCACGAAACATTTCACGAGACACCCCGCGAAACATTCCACGAGACACCCCACGAAACATTCCACGACGACAGGCAACCACTCAACCAAGGCGGTGTGGTCGTGCTGGGGAGTGGTCGTGCTGGGGTGTGGTCGTGCTGGGGGGTGGTCGTGCTGGGGTGTGGTCGTGCTGGGGGGGTGGTCGTGCTGGGGGGTGGTTGTGCTGGGGCGTGGTCGTGCTGGGGCGTGGTCGTGCTGGGGCGTGGTCGTGCTGGGGCGTGGTCGTGCTGGGGCGTGGTCGTGCTGGGGTGTGGTCGTGCTGTGGTAAGGTCGTGCTGGGGTGCGGTCGTGCTGGGGTGTGGTCTTGCTGGGGAGGGGTCGTGCTGGGGTGTGCTCGTGCTGGGGTGGGGTCGTGCTGGGGTGTGGTCGTGCTGGGGTGTGGTCGTGCTAGGGTGGGGTCGTGCTGGGGTGGGGTCGTGCTGGGGAGTGGTCGTGCTGGGGGGTGGTCGTGCTGGGGTGTGGTCATGCTGGGGCGTGGTCGTGCTGGGGTGGGGTCGTGCTGGGGTGGGGTCGTGCTGGGGTGGGTTCGTGCTGGGGTGCTCCGCACCCTGTGATTTATCGATCGGGTCGTGCTGGGGTGTGGTCGTGCTGGGGTGTGGTCGTGCTGGGGTGTGGTCGTGCTGGGGTGTGGTCGTGCTGGGGTGTGGTCGTGCTGGGGAGTGGTCGTGCTGGGGTGTGGTCGTGCTGGGGTGTGGTCGTGCTGGGGGGTGGTCGTGCTGGGGGGGTGGTCGTGCTGGGGGGTGGTCGTGCTGGGGCGTGGTCGTGCTGGGGCGTGGTCGTGCTGGGGCGTGGTCGTGCTGGGGCGTGGTCGTGCTGTGGTGAGGTCGTGCTGGGGTGTGGTCGTGCTGGGGTGTGGTCTTGCTGGGGTAGGGTCGTGCTGGGGTCGGGTCGTGCTGGGGTGTGGTCGTGCTGGGGTATGGTCGTGCTGGGGTGGGGTCGTGCTGGGGTGGGGTCGTGCTGGGGTCTGGTCGTGCTGGGGTGTGGTCGTGCTGGGGTATGGTCGTGCTAGGGTGGGGTCGTGCATTTCGCTCGAGACATCCTGCCAAAATTCCAGGAAATCGTACAAAAACAAAGGAATTAGACGAGACATCATCGAAATTCCTTCGCGCGGGGCGCTTTTCCGCGTCGCGGTCGGCTCTGCAAAACCAGCGTTTCGCTCGAGACATCCTCGGCAAACTCTGCGGAGCAAGCGTTTCGCTCGAGACATCCTCAACTCTGCAAAACCAGCGTTTCGCTCGAGACATCCTCAAGAAATTCTGAAAAACAAGCGTTTCGCTCGAGACATCCTCAAATTTTAATTCGCCGGCCTCCTTCGACCTCGTTATTTATCAGGGAAAAAAATTCGCCGGCCTCCCTCAAGTTGGCACC